GGTCACTGTAAGTATGAATCAGTTCGTTGGGGTGGAAGCGAGTGAGCAGGGCGTTGGGCCCCTGTGTCGCCACATCCTCCCCAGCATGGGTCCGTGTTTCTGGCACGAGCCATCCCAGTGCAGGTGAGGTGGCTCCTCACTGCATTCTGGCTTGTCACCAGCTGATCCCCAATGCTCTTCAGAGAGACTGTCCCACAGGGAAACCCCAGCACCCCAGACTGCGGGCAAACCATGCCCGTGACTCAGGACAGAGCAGAGATCTTGCCTGCCACGCACCACACAGCGTTGTTTATTAACCTGGTGAGGCGGCCGAGTGAAGACTGGACTCTGCCCTTCCATGTCTTCTTAACGCCAGGCATCAAGAATGGGCCCCTGCACCCTTGACCCATCGTGAGGGCTGGCCTGGGCTCTGTCTTGGTCAGGCAGAGTCAGAGCAGGGGCGATGGCAGATGGGCCAGCGGCATCCTTGTGGACCCCATGCCTGTCTGTGTCCCCCAAGGTGTGGCAAGAGAACAAGACACGGCTGCAGGGTGAGCTCCAGGGAGCCCTCCACCTCCAGTCCATGGATCTGGCCGAGTGGCTTGGCGCCTTGAGGAAGTGCCACAACAGGGTGCTGCCCTGTCTGCAGGTAGGGAGGGGGCTATGCCCAGGAGGTGAGCAAATGGGAGCATTGGCAAGACCCTACAAAGTGCCTGGCACCCAGTAGGCTCCCACTCAACACGCTGAAGCATCCTGGCCCTTCCCGGGAACATTATACTAAGTAATTGCTTTAGTGGCTAAGTTATATATTACCGAGAGCGAACCTGGCTCGGACGTATCCGTCACTTTTACTGTTTTGCCTAGAGAGGTTTCCGTGGCAGCTCAGAAAGCCAGGAATGAGTAAGGAGAGAGGTGACATTAAAGGCAGGCTGTTAGCGGAAGTGAAAATTAAACAACTCAGCCAAAATCGAAGTCAGGGAGCGTCTTGCCTGTAGGAACAGGGAGATTAATGCTCCCCCTTC